ACTAATGCATTCGGAGAGAAATCGGCGAATGGAGGGAGAGGTCAAAGTGGCCGTAAGGCCCCCTCGTTTCTGACTTTTTGTCGCCACTTACTCTTAATTAGGGTCAAATTCTTGGTCTGACATCAGGAAAAATGCATCTCTGATCATCTGGCCCCTTTTTAACAGTGTAAAAAAAAACATCGTGAAGTGATTGCTCAACTCGCTTTCACCCATTTGTTTACGCTTTCCAAAATGAAGAGGGTGTCTAATCAGTGCCCATTAATCTGTGATACGTCCACGGATCGATGACACGTCGCCGAGCTGCTCGGAACATTTCTGAGTGGATTCATGGATGCTCATTTAACATCAGAACTGGAAACGGTGCTACTCTCCGGAGGCGTGAGTCATGCAGAATGCAAAGGTATCATGCCTGTGTGTGGCCATGTTTGGCTGAGCTATGACTCACAGATGAAGCATTCAGATGCAAATTGGTGCAATCAGCCACTAAAAGGTTTAAAGTACCCCCTAACGGTCTCCGTGAGCCTCGAACGGGGGCTGCCACCTCTGACCGTGTTGATATCCAGCCTGGCTACAAATACATACTTCTCTGTGGCCATTTAACCGGGACCCGGCTGTTGTTTTCACCTCTTCTCCACGCCTTCTGCTCCCTTTTCTTCCTCAGGAGTCTCACCTCCCACGTTGAGAACGTGCGCTGCTTCCAGTCTGCTCTTAAAAGTTAAGTTCTGTGATATGACGAACCTATTCATGGAAGTCAAATCCGTTGGAGCAAACTGGTTCAGACTCTGCGGACAGGGATGGTTTGGCTTTTAACTTTTTCCTGCGAAGCACTGTGACGATGCAGAGAGCTTCACTTCCCCTGCACAGAAACTTATCAGGGCAAGCATCTAAAACTCATAAAATTTGTTTTTTTTCAGGGGAGAAAACCCTCAATACCAAATGCAAATTCAACATTCAGACTCTGCCGTTCCTACAGGTTCAAATCGGCCCCCAAGAGAGATAAAGTGTGTCGAGAGCTCGGCTGAGGACGTGAAAGTGTGTGAGATGGAGAGTTTTTTTGTGCCAAGCCGTGAATGGCTTCCATTGATTTACACGGATTGGTTTGCCAAGCGCAAGCGAGGAAACTCATATCTCCACAAACCCTGAAGGAAAGTGTCACTTTGTTGGATTTGAGGTGAATCCATCTGATCTTAATTTCCTTCCTTTCGCCGTGGCTGCGTTCTGTCATTAGCTGTGAAGCTACAGCGAGGGCAGATCTTCCATCACCCTTCAGTGGATTAATATCCTTAATGTTTGCTGAGCTTTAGGAGTCAGGGAGCCTTTTTGTTCTTTTTAATAAGACTGAGACACGGTGGGTGGATTCCAGCTCGAATTAAACATTTGTGAGGCTGCATGCTTCCATGTGAGCGATTGTTGCAGTTTGTATTAGTTTTGTTAAGTGGTTTGAACATAAATCTGTTTCCCAACGCCAGACATAGTAAAAGAAAAGCTCACTTTCTCTTTGTGCTATAGGTTTCCAAACAAGAGCTAATTGGTGAGTGGAGGGAACTGAGGTTGATTAATGAGATGAAACTCTGGAACACATATTCAATGGATTATTTATTGACTGATCATCAACAAAACTAGATTTTTTCACATATCATTTTCCTATAATACTTTGATTAAGTTTGATTGATTGATTGATTGATCCATCATGAAATTAGACAAGAGTTGTAAAAATTCTTTGTGTTTCCAGAAAAAATGTTGTTTTTATTATGAGGTGTTTCAAACATGTGCACACTATATGTATCATGTTGGGAATGTATCCCTTTTATTATGTACAGTATATGGTTTATCATGTTTGCCTGCATGCTCACTTTGGTAACATCTTTGCTTTTTTGTTTGTTTACAGGCAGAAGTATAAAAGTACTTCACAAAGGTAAGACACACACAAGCATGTAAAAAAGAGATCAATGTGAAACATACATTTAGGAAAATGGGATGGAGTGGATGTTGAAGGATATTTACACAAGTAAAAGCAAATTTACTCCACTCAACATTGTAAAAAATCTTTAGTATTAGTAATAAATATGCTTTTATTCTTATATATGATTAAAAACCCAGTTAAAGTTTAACATCTCAACATCTGGAGGCTGATACAAACACAGACAGTCATTAATGATAAATCAAACAATGTAAAACAAATTAAATCAGGTAGGAAAACAACTTTACGCAAACTTTTGGGTTAGAAAATGGCCTAAAATCACTTCTCACGCAAACATTATCACATAAACTAATTAGAGTGAAACAGAATAGTATAGGGCCGGGGGCATTTCTGTGTGGATTTTCCACGCCCCCCCCCCCCCCACCCATACGCATGGGTTCTCTGCGGCTACTCCGGCTTCTTCTCACTGTCCAAAAACATGCACATTAGGTTAATTAGAGCCTCTAAATTGCCCACAGGAGTGCATGTGAGTGTGTGTGGTTGTTTGCCTCAGAGTGGCTCTGTGATGTACTGGAGACCTGTCCAGGGACCAATGACAACTGGGACTGGCTCCATTGGCCGCTTTTTACTGCGCTTGAGTGCACAATGTTGAGTACTTTGTAATCAGATTTCGTCCCACTTTTATACAGCCTGATGATACCATTAACTGCTTGGTTACAGAGTCTAATGAGTCAATACCATAGACTTACAATACTTACAATAATAGATTTAAGGAAAATGCATTTCTTTCCTTTTAGTTTAGTCCTCTCTCCTTACCCCTCTTGGTCCAACGCTGTTGTAACCATGGCAACTAAAAGAGATTACATCCAGGGACAGGAAGGTGTTTGGCTGCCATGACAACAGCAAAATGCTTCGCCGCACAAGAGTCTTTTCTGAAGTGAAATGAACAGTGTCCCCTGTGCTGTTATTGGGGAAACTGTTCAAGCCACATTATGAAAATGAGTTTTCGGTTATGAATTTTCTCAAAAAAAAAAAAATCTGTCAAATTTCTGATTTGCAAGACATGGACGGGGAGTTGAAAGTTGAAGGCTTGGGGGGGGGGGAAATGCTCTAGGTGCAAATGGGCATGCAGGCCGGTGGCTTGTTTTAGCATGCAGAAGGCTGGACCGAGATCGAATCTGAGGCACAAGAAAAATCTGATTAATTAGGTGCTTCCCGCGCAGCAAAAGCAGGGACTAAGTGGCCCGAGCGCATCTGCTGCCGTGGTTAATGAAAGAATGTGACCGACGCTGGGTGAAAGGCCGGAGCTGATAACGGAGATGAGTAAATGGACCACAGGTGTTTGAGCTACGGATTTGTTCAGAGCGGAAACAAGTGTCAAACTCACAAACGCAGACAGGAACACAAAAACCCCAAAACAAACCGTGGACCACCAGATACAGACTTACATTTTTTAGCTATCTGATGCAATAAAGTAAAAAGTCTTATCGTCAAATGGACATCTGTGTGGTCATAGATCAGCAAAAATGACATCTGATGTACAGTAAAAAAGTGTTTTCATGAGATTCTAAGTGTAGTTTCAACTTTGTGTAAGTACATGTACACTTATTTTTCCTGTGCAAACTCTGAAATTTGGGGTTTCATTTAGGAACAAAGATCATTAAAAACCTGGCCAATGGTAAGCCAGCGCGATGGCTTTTCAAACTGCTGTCGGCAGGCAAAAACACAATGAATTTCCTCTGCTGGACGGCTTGTTTATTCTCCGAGGGAGAGACGAACCGTTGGTGCTGAGTGATTGACGGGAGACAGAGTGTCATGTGTCCATCTGGAGGAAGCACATTTTTCATGTTTTGGTTCTGTGGTGTGAAGGAGACAGCAGCTGTGTGGGTGCAAAGAATGAAGCCGTCAGTTGGCAGGTATATTGAGAGTGCCAAAAGGATTTTCTAAAGGACTGCTGTTGAGAAGTCCAAAAAAAGATCAGAGCAGATGGCGATGCATTAAATATATGCGGTACAGTTCACCGTAGTAAAGAATAAAACCGTACATTAGGAATGTGTCACAGATTGACAATGCTTCTGTTCTGCATTAGGTTGAAAAATAACATCAGAAAAAAAGTTCTGGACTGAGCTAGAAACGGTTCGGGCTATTTGTAGAGCGCTTCGAACTCTTCCTTTAAAGCGGCGCTCAGATCAAACTCAGGAGATTTTTGCTGACTCATCAGAGGCTAAAAAAGGTATCCACTGTTAGCCCACTGCACAGACAGCTCTGCCCCGGGTTTGCAGCTGGAAAGTGCTGATTAGTTAGTGCCGTGTTGGTGGGAATCCACCAGAAGTGATGATGTGTTCAGTTCAGCGTGTGGAAACTGGGTCGGTTGAGCTCCAAACAGGATCAGACGGTCCGATGGTGCACACACACACACACACACACACACCACGAGAAGAGCAGCTTTGTTTACCGAGAAAAGGAAAAGCATGTTTGTTACAAATCTGCCCAAAAAAAGGACGAAACTCAGCTCAAATCTTGTCAATAGATGCTGTTTAGTTGCTGAATAAGATTTTTTTACAGCTAAATATCTGGTGCGTTACAGCATGTTACAGCAAAAAATTTTGGAACCAAACAAAAGCAAATTTGCAGAAAGTCTAATTCACTTATGCTTCTCGGAGATTCGTGAAAGTGACACAGGAGGCATGTAAGGCGATCAACAACCACCAGAGTTATACAGCTACACTCTGACTGTGAAGAAGGCTTACTCTATCCTCTTCAAACTTCAAACTTACATTTGGATTTTTCACATGAGGCCCCCTGAAGCTAAAATTAGACGAGCCAAGGTAATAGAATATCATGGCATGTTGACAATTTTAGCTTCAAATACATCAAAACAGCATGCATTTTTATGCAAAAAAGAGGACAATAATAAAAAGACACAGGAGCACTTTCATGACTCTTTGATAAGGGGATAAGATCACATTAGATTGACACAGTGGTGTGTAGTGGCACATTTAGTCTATTAATCATATAATTAAATACATGTAGAAGCTGTAAATGGCTGTAATGTAACTTTTAAAACCTGAGTGCATGCATGTGTGTTCTCTTTGCCAGGCTGAAGGGGGTCCTGGAGCAGATGGACCGCGGCGTAGTGGACCTCCAAGAGCTCCGCAGGAACCTGGAGCTGGCCGCCGCCATGTTGGACGCCGTCTACACGGACGAAACCAGGTGAGACCAGGCCGGTGGTCTGTGGGAAAAAACAAAACAAAACAAGCAAAAGCAGCCATCCGATCAATCGGCCGTGTGTGTGTGTGTGTTTTCTCCTGATCTCCAGGCGCCTGCTGGACACCGAGGATGAGCTCAGCGACCTCCATGCCGAGTCGGTGCCCAGCGAGGTACGGGATTGGCTGGCCTGCACCTTCAGCAGGAAGATGGGCGTCGCCAAGCGCCGTCCCGAGGAGAAGCCAAGATTCAGGAGCATAGTGCACGCCGTGCAAGCTGGCATATTCGTGGAACGGTAGGGACCGAGAAATGACTTGAAATCAGACTTTGCTCTGAGTATAATTGTTTAAAAGTGCACAAAGCTGCAGGCAAACAACACTTTCTGCTTCGAGCTCCTCCAGGAGATGTCTGACAGGCTGCAGTGTTCTCAAACAAAGCTTTTAAACACAGCTTCTTTCCCCCTTCCTCTGCTCCTCAGTGATTTCACTTTGAACGTGATAAAGCAGTTACATAATGAAGCTCATTATATTCTTATTATTCATATCATGGGACTCATCATGCACCATTACCTGCCCCTCCATTTTCAGAGTGACACAAAAGACATCTTTCTAACAGAAAGTCCTGCAGGATAAACTGTCCTCCGCGTACAGTAGCTACATCGTGGAGTGAGTGAGTCATGAGTCTGTGGGATTTTTTGCAATTCAAAGCGATTCTTCACCGCTAGCAAATACCAAACAAGACACTCGAATCGAACAAACAAACATACAGAAAGGAGAGGATATAAATGCTAGATTCAACATTTGTTCTTAGTATGGTCACGTGTTTTCATCAGGACCAGGACGGCTTTGGCCTAATGCAGAATTTGAGTCTTCAAAAGGGCAGTTTGTGACCAGTGATTGACCCCAATGTGCCTTTATCAATATTTCATTGACTGTGTGCTACAGCAGCTCTCTTCAGAAGCAAACAGTGCACATTTCATTTAGAAAATGGCACTTTTCTTTCAGAAACAAACACAGATTGCCTTCGAGAAAGTAGAAAAAACTCAACTAATCAATCCTGATCTCTGTTTTGCCAAATCATTATATTGTTATATTAAGTTATATGAAGTAAGCAGTTTAATTTGAATTAAAATGACTCATTTGAAAGCTCTCTATTCTCTCTTCAACACACCACTCAGTCGTCTTTAAAGAAAGAGGACAGGTTGGTTAGGATTGCTCTGAGAAGTTTCAACCAAAAACTTAAATTTTTACATCCCTGACTACATTCAGTCACAGTTTAAACATCTTTTTTGTGGGGATAAATCCACTTTTAAGAAAAAAAATACTCCTGAACCTGGATGGAGAACTTGTAAACTTATCCTGGTAATTAATTTGAGCAACGCCACCTTTTCAAAACTCTGACAAACACTCATCTCAGAAGTGAACAGAAAGCGGGAAGCAGACGTGGACCATCCGGTGGGCAGATGTGATTAAGGGGGTCCGAGGCGGGGTTGTAATGTCGTTAGCGTGCGAGCCGGGGCTGGAGATGGAGAACCTATGGAGTAACTCATGAGACCCGCCGTCATTACAGTGTAAATGAGTCGCAGTTAAAGAACACTATCAGTTCATCTGCCGCGGCCCTAATGACGCATGAAATCAGAAAAATATCTGCCGCACTGAGCCCTCGCGCGTGTGTCCCTGCATGTGTTTGGAGCGCGGTTCCCATGGCAACTGACAATCCATCCTGGTCACAAAGTGTGGAGGAAGGCAACAGGAGGGGGTCCGTGTGAGGAGTGTTGATCTGCATGCCACTGCCTGCGTCTATATATACGTGTGAGATTTGTGAGTGATATTTTCATCTGTGTGTGTGTGTGTGTGTGTGTGTGTGTTTGTGTGTGTGTGCATCACAACAGGATGTACAGACGGACTTCCAACATGGCTGGTCTGACCTACCCGCCCACAGCTTTGACAGCTCTGAAGGTAAAATAACACAGAACCCCCCCACGGCAGACGGCGTGGCATATTATTACAGCGAACCTGAATTTTGATCAGAAGCAAACAGAAAAACCGCGTAGATTGAGACCCGCCTGAGAGCAAACCAAATAAAAGAATAAAACTTGGACTTAGGAAAGTTATTACAGGAGCTGAAAAGGTAGGAGAGGTGTCAGACTGTGCAGTGAAACAGAAGAAAAGTGGGCAGACGGAGGCAGAGAGGTGGCAGAGATTACACTTCAGAAAAAAGTCAAAAATAATGAAGAGCTATAGAAGGAAGTGAGGTGGCCAAGGTAAGGAGAGAAAGGAGTGAATGAAGGAAGTTAAGAAATAGCTAAGAGAAGTTGTAAGAAAGAGGTAAAGAAAAAGTTTGGCACTAGAGGAAAAATTAAGATGATTAAAAACGAATTAGAGAGAGAGAAGGATGAAAGTAGACTGAAAGATGGAACAGAATAAAAAAAAGGGAAGACAAGACAGGACTAGAAGCGGAGGATAAGAAATGAATGGAAGAGAGAAAGGTGGAGAAAGCGGAAGGCAGACGAGGTAAAGGAAAAACAAGTAAGGCAGAGTATGAATAAAAGGGAGCAAAGAGTAGAAGTTGAGAAAAAGCAATGTAATAAAAGAGGTTATGAGAAAGAGGGGATGATAGGAGGTAGCAGACGAATGTATATTTAGTGGGGTGTATCGTGATTTATGCTCCCTCCTCGGGGCTTCCTGTGCAAACAGAAAAAAATGTAATTACCCCTCTAATTACTCTGCTTTATGGTTCTCCTGACCTAAACTCATGAATTATAAGAGGCCCAACTTCAAATATAATTGTAAGTTGATGAATAATTACAATCATTAATCTAATTTCTGCTTTAGCTCCTTTCTGCATGATCAAACATCATTAAGACACTGCCCCCTAGTGGGCAAAGGCTTCATTACAGGGGAAGAAACGCAGCCTCGCCTCCTGTTTTTGCACCTTTTGACCCAAACTAGATGTCGGATTGAAAAAATGTGGTGATGAATGTTTTTCCAGGAGGTGGACCAGTGGTCTTTCGATGTTTTCGCCTTCCACGAGGCCACCGGAGACCACGCCCTCAAGTTCCTGGTCTACGACCTCCTGACCCGCTATGACCTCATCACCAGGTTCAGGGTACACAAAGTTTGATATTGTTAACGCCCGCAGGTTCGTGGGACCCGAGTTGTTTGATAAACTATGCGTGACCAAGACAGAGTTTGAGATATCAAACCATCCGTGAAATGACAACGTACCAAGGAGCCTGCAGGAGCTGATGAGCTTAAGTCAGCACAAAACCCCCAAAAAAGAAACAGCTCTGAAGTTCAAAACACGTTCGATTTAATTTGTTTCCAAAACGAAAATCCCAACAAAACATTTTGAGGGATGTTTCAATTTCTAAAAAGAAGTGAGAGGCTTTCTTGAAAAAACAAGTGTATCCTTTTCTGGCATCCATCAAAATGAAACCAGGTTAATCCAGCAATATGAATCTAATTAGATATAAATACATAAATGGTCATAAATGGCTTTAATTCTTTTTACATAAATCATGAAATGAAGCAATGTGCTGCTCCTAAAAAAGCTTAAATAATACATCCGTATTAACAATGATAATTATTTAACCCTTTAACATCCACACTCAGAAAAAAGGAGGGGAACTGTTTCTTTTGCATTTTCTTTATTTCTTTGGAGCAATAACAACCAGAATCAGTGTTTCATGGACAGTTTGGGGGACACTTCATAGTAAAGAATGAAATTTAAAAAGAGAAGTGTAATAACTCTATTGTAAGCACCTAAAGTTAATTTTAGAGCTAGTTTAAGTAAGTGCACTTCCTCTGGTTTATCATACAAATGGTTGAGCAGGATGTTAAAGGGTTAAAGCAAAGATAATTTCATTTCTGTTATTTGAGCTCTCGTGTGGCCCTATTATTTAGATACATTTAACTTTTAGAGCAAAAGTAATTCAGCAATCCCCACAGTTTTACATCAGCTTAGCAGAAAACCGAATGCAAAGTTGATGGCTTCCCATGAGTCCAGGATGAGTCATAATCCTTTGTTTTTTTAATCTTTTTGTGGAAATATGTTCCTGTTGCTGGGATATTAAAGCTCAGACATTTCCTCTTTAAAAAATCCAACAGCTTTGCACCGGTTTGATGTCTGTGTTTAGATCCCCGTGCAGGCTCTGGTGCAGTTTGTGGAGGCTTTGGAGAACGGCTACAGCAAACACAGGAACCCCTACCACAACCTGATCCACGCCGCCGACGTCACCCAGACGGCCCACTTCCTCATGCTGCACACCGGACTCATGGTAACAAACGCACAATTAAAGACTCACGTTGTTCCTGGCCGACTGTGCTTAGAGAAGATCCTAATCTTACCTCATACACAGACAGATACTTTGCTCTTTGCAATAAGAGTCCATCTCACTGTCCCACACGGTCTGCATGGGCACCCTGCTGACTTTGTGCGTTTTTGTGCGTGCCTGCAGCACTGGCTCAGCGAGCTGGAAATCCTGGCAATGGTTTTTGCGGCAGCAATTCACGACTTTGAACACACGGGAACCACTAACAACTTCCACATCCATACCAGGTAAGAAACAACTAAACAATCCACTTTTTTCATTTACAACTTCAAAATTTGAAATTTCAATTTTATCCCAGAGATAATACATAAAACCTCACTGCTGATCGCTGTTATCTGGAATTTGAGTGCAATGTCACAGCATTTTCTATGAAAGCTACACGTTTTTTATTTAAAAAAACTCTAACATGCATACCAGCTTTTGTGTGAATCAAAATATACTCTTTTAAAATGTTTTTTGCTCACCAAATGTGTACTTTCTTAACAAAAGAACCTCTTTAAAATTGTAAGTAAATAAAAAGACACATCTTGTGAGTTTGTGTCAGACTCTTCTGAACATTTGCACATGTTTAAACCCGGTAAAACATTGTGTTCCTCGTCTAATACACATGCGTGAGCGTCTGTGGCAGGAATGTAATGAGAAGAGACGTTTCTGTAAAGCGTACATCTGACTGGACAGGGCTTCTGTCCGTCAGGTCAGAGGTGGCCATTCTGTACAATGACCGGTCGGTGCTGGAGAACCATCACGTCAGCGCCGCCTACAAGCTGATGGCGGAGGAGGACATGAACATCCTGGTCAACCTGAACAAGGACGACTGGAGGTCTGTTCTCGCACACGTTTGTGGGCAATTCTCCGTTTCTTTGCTGAAACTCACATTGGAACTAACTAAGAGCTCTAAATCTGGATTCACGCCCAGATCCGGCCCACTCGCTGCAACGATACCAGCTTGTGTTAACATGTGCAATAATGGCATTTGGCTTCTAAAGAAGACGGTTTCAGGATGTCTGGACCAAAATCAGGACAAATCCTGAATGTCCACAGACTCACAAAGATAAAGACACACACAGGGTTGTCCTTCAATCTTCGTACAGGATTCTTTTTTACCGTAAGGTAGCGTGATAAACGTATATCAGATGACTGTGGTGATCGGGAACTGTTGATCATTTTGCAGGGAACTTCGGTCCCTGGTGATAGAGATGGTGATGTCCACAGACATGTCCTGCCACTTCCAGCAGATCAAGACCATGAGGAATGCCCTGACCCAGACACTCAGGTCAGTGCTGCTGGTACCAGCTGCCACGCCGCTTTTCACTGGTGGTAACGTATTTATTAATGTTTGAAATAAGAGATTTGGTCACAATTCCAGATATTCTATTTGTTTTATATGAGATACCTAATGATTTGGTATCCAATCATCACTAGAACTCACAATATGAAGATGTATGCATTTGTCACAATTTTTACATTCTGTCAATAATTCATTGCATGGTCTGGAAAACATGTCATTATTCCCTTGGTGTGACTATTTAATGGTGGTAAGATTTGTTTTAAAGGTGTTCTGTAAGATTACTGGCAAAAAAATGCAAAAATTCCACTCTGAGCTCCCATCACTGCAACCATTCTACCAAGAATCATATTGTCCTAGCTAACTGAATGTTTCACAAACACATACACTATATTGCCAAAAGTATTTGCTCACCTGCCTTGACTCACATATGAGCTTAAGTGACATCCCGTTCCTAATCCATAGGGTTCAATATGACGTCGGTCCACCCTTTGCAGCTAGAACAGCTTCAACTCTTCTGGGAAGGCTGTCCACAAGGTTTAGGAGTGTGTTTATGGGAATTTTTGACCATTCTTCCAGAAGCGCATTTGTGAGGTCGCACACTGATGTTGGACGAGAAGGCCTGGCTCTCAGTCTCCGCTCTAATTCATCCCAAAGGTGTTCTATCGGGTTGAGGTCAGGACTCTGTGCAGGCCAGTCAAGTTCATCCACACCAGACTCTGTCATCCATGTCTTTATGGACCTTGCTTTGTGCACTGGTGAAAAGTCATGTTGGAAGAGGAAGGGGCCAGCTCCAAACTGTTCCCACAAAGTTGGGAGCATGGAATTGTCCAAAATGTCTTGGTATGCTGAAGCATTCAGAGTTCCTTTCACTGGAACTAAGGGGCCAAGCCCAGCTCCTGAAAAACAACCCCACACCATAATCCCCCCTCCACCAAACTTTACACTTGGCACAATGCAGTCAGACAAGTACCGTTCTCCTGGCAACCGCCAAACCCAGACCCGTCCATCAGATTGCCAGATGGAGAAGCGCGATTCGTCACTCCAGAGAACGCGTCTCCACTGCTCTAGAGTCCAGTGGCGGCGTGCTTTACACCACCGCATCCGACGCTTTGCATTGCACTTGGTGATGTATGGCTTGGATGCAGCTGCTCGACCATGGAAACCCATTCCATGAAGCTCTCTGCGCACTGTTCTTGAGCTAATCTGAAGGCCACATGAAGTTTGGAGGTCTGTAGTGATTGACTCTGCAGAAAGTTGGCGACCTCTTCGCACTATGCGCGTCAGCATCCGCTGACCCCGCTCCGTCAGTTTACGTGGCCTACCACTTCGTGGCTGAGTTGCTGTCGTTCCCAAACACTTCCATTTTCTTATAATACAGCTGACAGTTGACTGTGGAATATTTAGGAGCGAGGAAATTTCACGACTGGATTGGTTGCACAGGTGGCATCCTATCACAGTTCCACGCTGGAATTCACTGAGCTCCTGAGAGCGACCCATTCTTTCACAAATGTTTGTAAAAACAGTCTGCATGCCTAGGTGCTTGAATTTATACACCTGTGGCCATGGAAGTGATTGGAACACCTGATTCCGATAATTTGGATGGGTGAGCAAATACTTTTGGCAATATAGTGTATATAACAGCTTTCCTCATTCTACGGAATCACATCAAGTCGTGTCCTGAGCATACACATCGAGTCAATGGAAAGCTAAATCTACCATCACAGTCTGATGTTAGATTATTGTCTCTCTGCATTGTTTTTTATCCCCAAAGCATTATCCTAGAAACATGTGGAGTTTTTCTGAGGTAGTAACGCCACATTTTTAGGAAGAGTTGCCATGACAAGCAGAAAAATAGTGTGTTCTAATATTTGAGTAGTTTATTTCTTGGCCTTACCTTCGGGCTGAGCCATTAAATTTCTCACCAGAATAGCTCTGTGTTTGCCATCTGGAAGTTAAGTGATGAGCCTGGGAAGCATCACAGTTAAATATAGAGTTTGTACAGCCGCTGTCTTGAAGAGATTTTACAATCATGGCTCTCTCTCTGAATGTACAAGAATTACTCTTCATTCACCATGCAACATTTGGCTTCAAAATGATGTGAGCACTGCCTCCTGGCAGACTGCTGGTTTATCAGATAGAGGCGATCAGATCATCAGTGGGAGTTTGGTGAAACGGTCCAACATAAGGTCCTGCAGACTGCCGGACCAGACTGGCCTGCCTGTTCCCGTAGGGGCCTGGACGGAAATAAAACTCGAGCCGAACCAGAGTCCAGCTTCCCTCTGAGTGTTTCGTCAGTTGAGCTGACGATGCGGAGGAGGGCAGTCGTCACGCTTCTCAGCTCGCACTGGGACGAGGTTTGGAGGAGCATACTGTCATCGGCCTGTCAACTCGCCGGTTCTGCTTGTGATTCTGCGGCTGGCTGTACTCCGCACGCGTCAAAATACAAATAAAAACAGGCCCTGCATTAAAACGAGACTGCTTTGGACCATTTTAAAAGCAGGATTTACTCGATGCGTGCCATTTCTCCACCTTTGACTACTTAAAACACGTTAGGGTTTCTAATCGGTTGGTTGTTCTGAAACGATCTTGTTCTCTCTCTCTTTAGTATAGACAAAGTGAAGGTTTTGTCCCTGATGCTTCACGCTGCAGACATCAGTCATCCGGCCAAAGCCTGGCCACTGCATTACCACTGGACTCACAGCCTGATGGAGGAGTTCTTCAGACAGGTATGCAGGTCTAGACAATCTAGTTTTGGGAGAAAATAGTATATATGTATATGTATGTATATGTATATGACAAATAGAGACTTAAGATTTAAACAAACCTTTTGTATCCACTTAGGGATAAAGAATATGAACATGCATACATATATACAGACACATATGAGGATATATTTGAAACAACAAGGCCAAACAGTGAATAAATGTGCATGTTTTGAAACAACTGAATACTCAGCACTGTTTCTTTTCAAAGGGAGATAAAGAGGTGGAGCTTGGCCTTCCCTTTTCTCCTCTCTGTGACCGCAAAGCTACCATGATCGCTCAGTCCCAGATAGGTAAGAACAAGCATCAGACTGGAGGGGTCTGGGGTCAGTGAGGCCTATTTAACGCATTTGAAGAAGCGCAAGCTCGCGTTCAGTTTAATTCTCCGTGCTTTCACGCCCCTCTCCTCGCTTCATTGTGTCCGTTTCTCCGGTTGCAGGTTTCATAGACTTCATTGTGGAGCCCACTTTCAGCGTTCTGATTGACACAACAGAAAAGGTCATCGGTCCTATGATAGAGGAAGACAGGTTGGCCAAAGAGACAGGAAATAGAAGGTCCAGGTACTGTTACTCCTACTGCTGTTGATAGAGATGACAGGACTTCTGTCTCACTGAGTCTGCATGAGAACAAAAGGTTTTCCTAGAAAAAGGCACCTAAATCCAGCTTGGAATGGAATAAAATAATAAATAAAATAATCTAATGCGTTTGTTTATGCGTTAGTTTGGGTTGAAAATCGGTCTTATTCGAGACTTAGATCACCTCTTGATCGAAAAAGATTGTTATTGAAAATGGAGGAACAGGACAAAACTATTTTTCTGAAACAATGTCACAATTGGAGGGGCACTGAAACATTATCATAGAGATCAGTGGGAAAACTATCCTATTTTATAGTTTTAAGGATAAAATTCTGAATAGAATTTTTCTTTTGTGCTGGGAAACTATTTGAGTCGAAGCAACAAGCGAGAACATGTTTTCATTCATTCCTTTCTTTATACACTGAGGGTTTTCTCTCTCTCTGTGACTCTGTGACAGCCTGACGGGAAGTGGCTCGGTCACTGTGGAGTCCGTACAGAGGCACAGCTGTGGCCTTCACGGGAAGCGTGACGAAGGACAAATGGACTTTTCACTGGCCGCCATCGACCTGCCGGCTCTGAAGCTCCACCTCTCCATCGTCATCACCAGCAACAAGGACCGATGGAAAGAGCTGTCCGTGCACGGTACGAACACGCACAGAAGGCTTGAACTGGAATACGAAGTTTCAGACTTATTCATTTTTAGGCTCTCAGAAATGAAAGAAATTCAACTTTTTAATTTTTAAGCACACGATACAAAATAAGCAGTGATATTATACCATGTTCTTAATCTCCGTTCCTCTGTTTAATTAAATTTAGGGGTCGAAAAAAATCGTTTTAATTTCCGTGTCTCTCCTGAACAGAGCTGGCTGATAAGGAGAAAGAGGAAAAAGAGAACCCAGAAGTTAACGTGGCCTCAGACAGCCAGCCCCGTGCGTCCCCGCCCGTCCACGTGGACGGCCCCCCCGCCCTGGAGACGCCTGACGACGAGACGCCCGACCGCCCGTCCTCGGATCACCTGACCTGGAACGGTACCAGCACGCCGCCGCCCGAAAAACAGCCCTTAAAAGTCCCGTAAAAGTCCCGCTCTGGGTTAACTCACCCGTTGCTGTGGTAACCGTCACAGGGGCGGACAAAGAGGAGGAGGAGGAGGACCAAGTGCCTGAAAACGACTGACGGCGCCCCACGCCGGAGTCCCCCCGCTTTATCCGAATGTGGCCGATCACCATGGCGACAGGTGGCCCGGCGCAGTGACAGCCAGAGTTTCGGACCCCCCCCCCGGGCCCACCCCGGCGGCCGCCCCGGGGGCCCCGGGGGGGCCCCCCCCCCCCCCAAAAAAAGGCCTCCAGATGTTTTGTTTCCTCAACTGACCCGTGGACACGTCCAACTCAAAATGAATCACCACATCACGACTTCTTAGCAGCTTCCTGGTGCGTTCAGGGTGGTGAACCCGTTTTTTCCGAAAGTCGTCCGTCACACGCGAGTGGAAATTTCAACATTCAAATAAAAATTCTGGCAGTCGGGTGAGAAAAAGCAGAGAGCGAGTCGGTGTCCACGTCGGGGACAGGCTAAATGTCCAGAACCAGGAGGAATGAAGCAGGAAGCTGTTAAGGAGCTGTTGTTCTTTTTCCATGTTTTGTGTTTTTCAGTCTAGTGCAGCGACAGGTGTGTCGTTAACCGTCCACCAATTATTGTGTACGATGAGTAGAAGAAGTGGTCGCTGCTCTGTTCCTTGCTCCAGATTGAATACATGTCCCCAGATCTGTGGGTGTCAGAGCTCTAACAGTTAAAGGAATCCACATGACGTCGTTGGAGAAGTTGTGGCACTGGAATGATGCTGGAGGAGAGTCTAGAGTAGAATCCCGAAATGCCTTTTGACTGGAAGGACACAGGCTGTAAAAACTGTGAAAAACACATACGTTTTATAAAAACAGATTCAACAAGAATTTTTACAGTCCTAAAACATGCTAAAAAGAAAAGCCATTTGGATAGCTTGGCAGGTTGATATTCAGCTAAAAAACTATGAAAAACTGGATAAAAACTGGATAAAAACTGTCCTTTTTTTGTTGGCAAAAACACAGTGGTTAATCTGAGACTTTAAAATGATGATATGCTTATAGGCACTTTATATTTAAGTTATATACTCGTTTGAATGAGTTATTTCAGCCACAGTCCAGCTGGAGGTCTTAGAAACTGCAGTTTATGCTACTTTTACACAAAATCAGCTAATTTAGAGTTGGACGGACCAATAGCAAGTTGCAGTGAGGCTTAATTGAATGATAGAAGGCATATGTGTGGGGAAAGTGCATTAGTTGAAGCTATCCTAAAAGAATCCTTCCTGTTTTCTTCTGACAATCTTTATATACCGGTCAGCTGCCACCTAAATTTGACCCTCTAAGAAATAGCTGCCATTTCACTGTGACGCTCAGAGACTCGCCTCAGTCAGAGTCCTATCCCTTCATGATTTAAAGGCAGAGTTGAAGTTAAAACGGCCTGCAGCGATCGACATGTTCGTGCCCACAGAGCAGCAATGAATCACCGCACATTTCTTTACATCTTTCTATGTAACCACTTCACACAACGTGTTGTACAACTCGGGTCGTCTTGCTGTACTTTAGGGCGATGTACCCATAGCATAGCATAACAGTGTAACTATCTACTGTCGTTGTATAAAGCGTTGAGACAAAGTTTTCTATAAGACGTAGGCAAAAAACGGGGAAACGGTCGTCTGACAGTCTGAATATTCCTTTAAACCAACAGGAGTATAGTTCCTGTGATGTTACTGTCACGTCTCTCGACTGTGAATAAAGACCAGCCCGCCATAGTGTCACCCGTTGTGATGGGGGCAGCATCGGTTTCCATGGCAACGGGCTGCAGGGTGGTGCCAATATGGCTGGCAGTGAGGAACTTTAGATCCTTCGAGCGCCGTGTTTGTTAGTGTGCGCTACAGTCATCGTGTGCTCTTCGGCTCTGCGTGTGGATGAGTGTGTGTGTGTGTGTGTGTGTGGGGGGGGGGGGGAGTGTGTATTTCTGTGCATTTGTGTGCTGTATAGCAGTTCCCTGTATTATTGTATTAAACATAATGAACCTTCGTCCTTGGATGGGATTATTTCATGGCCACCTCTTGTGTTTCATGGTTATAATAACATTGTGGTGGTTTAATCTGAATTTATATCTACATTGAGAGACATATCTGACTTTTTTTTTTTTACTATTTAATTAAATATTTTATAGAACTGTCATTTCTGGCTAAACTGATTTAAAATTTGCCTTGCACTCTACAAAACAGAGCCATACTCACAGCCAATACTTCACCGTGCACCCTGTAAAGAGACAGGCAAACATTCACACTGATTTTAGAATCACTAATTAGCCTAAGATGCACATTTTTGTAATGGTGGGCGGAAGCTGGAGTACCTGGGGAGAACACGCAAACTCCGGGATGTGAGTTCTTAGTGGTGCCATTAACCTGCCGGCAGACGTTATGTTCATCCAAACCACTTTCAGCATGACTCTTGAAAAGCTCGATCCTAAAAGAGTGCTCATCTGACCACCAGCTGCCCATGGTCCAACTGTACATGAGGGAAATGTAAGTATTTGAGAATAAACTGCCCTCTGAGTAGTTCCACTGGTGTCACCTTGTTTTTTTGTTGCTTTTTTCATTCATTTTCACATCACTGTGATGCTTTATTCTGCCTTTATACCTCAATTTAACACCAGTAGGTGACATAATTGAAAGTAAGTGTCAAATTTACTTAAATCGTTCACAGTTTAAATGCAGTGTCATAAGAAACGGATGTACGTGGATTAGGTAATTGTCATTGTCCATATTTATAATTTGTGAAAACAAAATGAGCAGTAATTGCAGTAAATCAGAGTGAAATGTGACAGTGACTAGCTTCTGAAATTCCATCACTGTAAACTGGTCTCTGCTGTGCAGCAGCCGGCAGAGGTCAGCGTGATCAAACCGTCCTGCCGCCACAGCTTTCTGTGGCTGCACTGCAGACGTTTACCAGCAGAGTGGAGCAGAGACTTATTTAATCTGCCAGCAGACGCAGTCACGTCGATACTTACAGCACTTTCTGCTGTTTATGAACTGATTGGTCCACTTCCCATGCCTTAAGTTTCTTCTATTCCAGCTTTATTTGTTGATTAACAGCAGTCACACACACACACACAAAAGACTGAGAAAGTTTTCCCTTCTCTACAGAGGCCCTGAAAAATTATCATAATCAAGACACCATTTCAAGTTGCATATTTCTTATTTAACAATTTGGGTACTTGAATTAGTTTTTGGAAGGTGCTTGGAGGTCTTTATGAAAGAGCAATTGTGTATTTTGACCACCTCACTATTAATGAGAAATGCATTTTTCAGCAAAGTAAACCATTCATTTATTGTTATTGTGAATTCAAAGTTATTATCATTATTAGTTAATAGTTTTGCAGAGCCAACAGATTCTCAGGAACACTAAGAAAGCTGACGTGCGTTCACAGAATTTAAAATAAGATGTTAGACTCACAATCCAAAGGATGGTGTCACAGTTGATGCATCTTTTACCCTCAGCTGTTTCATTTCCCAGTTTCTGCCGGTCATTCATTTCTGTGTTGTGGTTTGAGAGATGTCTTCATCACTCAGCAGAATGTAAACAACGTGTGTGGACAACAAGTTTAGCTTTCCGAGTTCAAGGAGTCCAGCTAACAAGCGGGAGCATGAGCCCGTGAAACCCGGCCAAGCTCATTATAATCAAGACGGCGAGTCCGATTGGCACCACCTGAAAGTAAACATACCTCTGTCAGCAGCTGAGCACTTTCAGCTTTGCCAATTTAATTTAAACAAGTGGCCCCCCCCCGATCAAATGCCGGGACTCTGATCACTGTTTTAGAACCTTTGATTTACCGTATGTTTTGGCGCACGTCCATCTGACACATTACCTTAGAGACCCGATCAACCCTGGGGTTATCTTTATCACATCCAGAGAGCGAATTATGGGACACGAAAGCAAGCTGAAGACCCTTTTTGTGTTTTTCACGCCTATTTAGACAATTCTTACAATTGCAACACAAATTGTATGTAATACATTCACAGATTGTTGAATGGAAGGAAAGACGATGCAGCATGTGTAGGTTCTACACTGTATTTTTTACTGTGTCAAGCTTAGTGTCCACTGGGAGTTAAATTGGAATTTTTATGGGGTTATTACGGTAAAAATCGACATTATTTGACAAAAAAAACTAACAATTATGGTTATTTTAGAAATAAACTCTCCTGTGATTCGGTATCAAACTTCACAATGTCATTATGACTGTACTAAAAATATTAAGAGAACAATCTTTTATTAGCCAAAGTAAAGTGCAATTTACCCAGTGCTGTCCATGACTTTACAGAGTGCCATAAAATTGGCACAAAGTCATCACTTCTTGTAGTCTGTGAATTGTCTTAAAAGGTCCGCCTAATGCAGCAGGCACACGTCTTTGGCACTTTCTGATTTTTTAAGAAGACTGCTTCACTCCTGTCCATGTCTGGCTTTGAATATTAAAAATGTAAAGCAACACGTTTCCCTAAAAGACATCAGTGTGCCAACTGAAATTGATAAAAAAGCTTAAATAGCTCACATTTAATTATGCTTTGCTCTCGTGATAAAAAAAAAGAGTCTGCAGGCTAATTAATTTTCATTCTTGGTTCATTTTGTGGCTGCCTGTCTCACATGCATGGCTGGATGAAGTCAGTGAGGTCGCTGATCTGCTCCATTAAAAGAGAAAAGTGGCTGCAGAGGAGTGTGCGGCACTTTGAAGATTTTCTGGTGTTCTTCGGAGCATCTTGTTCCCGGCCTATGGCTTTGTTCTGTGACCAGAGCTGAGTGCTTTAAAACAAATGGCAGGATAGGAGGGGGAGGGCACAAACGCAAGTGCATTGAAACCTCCGAAAAATAATTCGATATATTTCAATAAAGAAGTGCAAACATCTTATGGTCGAAATGGGCCCTTACTCCTCAACTTTAGACTGAAAATGTTGCCAACTCTGTCATAGAAAATGTTGTGAAAAAGCGCAGCAGAAAAAGATCAAGAGAATGAAAAAAAAAATGTCAGAAAATTCAGTTGTTGCGGAGACTTAATCCAACAAATTCATCTGTTTAGTTCAGTCTGCTCAGTTTTTATATCTCATGTACGAAGCGGCTCAGTGTGATTTACAGATATAAAACCAACCCAAAACATCAACGCTAAAAACGAGAAAAGTGTCAACTGTTGCTGATGCTGCAGGATCTGAGGAAATAACTTATTTTTTCGATAGAAAAAACTAAGAAAAGACTTCGGGAGGACATCAGAGGTCAGCAGAACTCACACCTTTGATGCCGTTTGTTGCAGATTCGTCCAAATAAACTGAATCCATTTCAAAACCAAGGGGACATGACAGCATCCAGCGTGGATGGCGAACAGCTCAGTGACAGTTGGGACGTGTCCAACCTGTCTCCTACCTCTTGTTGGAAAATGCTGGCAGCTGGCAAACCCCAGGGTGGAAAAACCTGGAGCTGCACCAGAATAGCTTTAGAGTTGTTAGTGTCCCTACTGCATGCAACACCGGTTCCAAACCACCAGATAAATCTAACAGGCTCTGTCCTGGGAGGCCATGATGCATTTTCAAACATCTCCCAGCTCATCTTTTGTCGTTTTGCCTTTTTGTAAAGATTGACGGAAATATTCCAATCAAGGCTAGCACAACTCTGGATCAAATCCTACCTTTGTGAAGTCAGAAGTGACCACTTTTTCTATGAGATTGAATCTGAAAGATGGGAACCGCGTCCTACGGTCATTTTTTTCCCAGCTGTTCTTTGACATCTGATATTGAGCTGAGATACACTTAATGTTCCGTATCATTTTGGGATTTTCTCCTCCAGGCCAGTGATCTGCCACAAACCAGTTGCTCCACCCTTGAAATGAGACCAGCAGCCCTTTAAGATCCATTCATCAGGCTTCCACGATACTGCAGTGCTAAAGGATAAGGGGGTTTGCATAAGTATGAGAACCTAGCCTGGCCCA